AAAATCTTAGTGAACTGCCCCTCAGACAAAGGACTTCTGTCTAAAACATATAAATAATTAAAAAAATCAGACACCTGAAATTCAAAGATCCAATACAAAAATGGGCATCTGAGATGAATACAGAGTTCTCAGATGAAGAAATATAAATGGCAAATAAATACATGAAAAAATACTCATCGTCATTACTCATTAGAGAAATGCAAATTACAACCACACTGAGATTCCATCTCACTCGTGAAAGAATGGCCAGGATCAAGAAAACTATCAACAACAAATGCTAGAGAGGCTGTGGGGAAAAAGGAACTCTCCTGCACTGTTGGTGGGAGTGTAGACTGGTGCAGGCATTGTGGAGGTCAGTCTGGAGATTTCTCAGAAAACTGGGATTGGAAGTCCCATTTGTCCCAGCTATTCCACTTCTAGGCATAGTCCCAGAAAAACTGAAAACATCACACCACAGTGATATATGTGCACACATGTTTATAGCAGCACAATTTGTAATAGCCAGATCTTGGAAACAACCTAAGTGTCCATCAACTGAGGAATGGATAAAAAAGTTGTGGAATTTTTATACAATGGAGTGCTACTCAGCTATAAAGAATGATCACATTGAGATATTTATAAATAAATGAACAGAACTTGAGACCATACTCATTAGTGAAATAAATCAAACTCACATGTATAAATACCGTATAGTCTCCCTAGTGTAAGAAATGGTAAGAGTACATAAGAGTTTATGGTCATCATGATTCCTCTTTACATTGCTCTGAAGCCTTATAATGTCTGCATTCAAAGTTGGAATGGTTTTATCCTAGTTTGTTTGATTTTATTATCTGTGATATTACAAATAGCTATTTTAAAGAAAAGAAGATATTAGAATAGCCAGAGCTAATTTAGTATCATCTTACTCTAAAGTCCTACTATGCTTTGTTGTTGTTGTTGTTGCCTTTGGTTTATCCTGTTATATCTTATTGGATATTATTATGTGTGATAATATAAACAAATTTTCTATGGAAAATGAGATAATATAGTAGCCATTGTTCATTCTTTGCTATTTGGTTCTGAAAGCCCTGTAATGCTTTCATTCTCTTGAATGGTTTTATACTGTTTTGTTATGCTCGATACTATCGTATATGAAGCTATACTCAATTATTTCAAAGAAAGAGACACTGGTAGTTAATGTTAATTATGGGTTGTCTTGTAAAATGCTGTGTTACTTGCATTGTTCTGATCTGATCTGCTTTGGTATGTCCTCTTTTGTCTTAATCTCTTTAAAATAAAAAAAAAATTAAAAAAGTGCAAGAAGAGGCCAAGGGATCTGCGATTAACTGAGTGCTGACTGAGGAAGGAGAAAGGAGGCAGCCTTAGGGTGGCGCGGCAGGGAGAAACGCTGGGCTTCTGACTTCAGACTAGGATAAGAAAGAACAGGTTCAGGCCTGGAAATATAATTTATCATGGTGTATTACCATAGTGTCTTGGTAAATTAAAGATTGTAAATCCTTAGATCCACTCACTCTCAGGCGCTAGGTTGAAGAAGCCGAGCTGGCTGTGCAGGAGTTGGCTGTGGAGAACGTCTGGTACATGATGCTGCCTTACTTAACGGGTTTTGCTCTTGCCCATGTCACACCATGTGAGCCCCGGCCAGGAGGCTTCCTGTTTCGGTCAGGGTTAACTTGCTGCCTACAGTCAGAAAACAGTCTTCCTGTGCTGAAGATGCTCTGCTTTGTTTCCTAACTGGTTTATGGAACAGCTTACATTTCGCGTGGAACAAATAAACTTTCCTCTCCACGTCCCCTTCAAACACACATGGTCAGAGCCCTTTCTCTGCCCCTCTCCCCACCACGCTAATGTCTCCGCAGTGCTGCACTTGTTCAAATCCCCTTTAAGAGTGAGACCGTTTTCAGTGTTTTTTTACCAGATCACACTGAGGGTCAGACACCCAGATTGGAGCATTGGCCATCTCCTGGTCCTTTCTGAGTCCAAATGTGGAAAGGGGGATGGCAGAAGGAGCCTAAACTTCTGTGCTTAACCGCCCCACAGGCCATCCTCAGTGGGCTCCTCATGAAGTTGTCAGACGCCCATGTACCCAAGCTCCAAGGCTACGGAGCCAATGGAAACCAGGGGCAGCCCATGGTTTCCAAATGGAGACCTCCACTGGGAGGAACACACACCCATTTCAAGTGTTCTAGCTGCAGTCAGAGAGAGCCTCAGAGAAGTCTCAGTTAACATCTAGTGACATTTTTTTTAAGAAGATAAATGTGAGACACAGGTGGTGGGGTCACCATGTTCAGTTATAATGTCAAAAATAAAGGGAGCTATTAGTGCCGAGGAGGCAGTTTGGCTCGTCTCTTTCATTTGGATCAAATTTAAGACTGCGAACAAGACTGCCCCTCACCACAAAGGAAAACAACGTGATGAATTCTTTCTCCTATGTCTGTCTTCCATTTTCTATTTAAAGAAATTTCTGAAAATACATGAATTATGCAGCTTATCTCTTAGATGAAAAAGAATTTTCTTGGACTGGATGGCTGCGTAGTTATTAATAGTAATAAAATTTTCCGTGTTCTTTTATATCAAATGGAATCCTGACTGATATATGAAAGAGCCATTCCAGCAATGATAACACTAACTGATGAATAATTATAAAAGTTATATGGAATTGAAAGGCATTTTAATTTGTCATTACTTCCATGTGCTCAGAAAGGCTCTGAATAATTATGGTGACTATAAAAAGCAAGCCAGTGATATTTTTCATTATGAGATTAAGTTCCTAATATACTACTTTTACTATAAGTTAAAACAAAACCAAAAAAACGTCTCATCTGGCTTCCCATAAAGATGTAATCTTGACTGAAAACCACTCAGCTGCGGGTGTGTTTGCTGTTCCTGCTATTACAGGGAGACGCTGTGCTTCCGGCTCATTTTAATTTGAAAAGTGTTCATCTTTGCCGTTTACAAAAATGAAATTATACTTGCTTGCTCAATGTGAACTGCCGACCTTCATGTCACATTAATTCATGAAGATGACAGTGACTAGAATTTCCTTCGGTCATGACCGAATGATGGTAGAAGCTGAATTGACATTCTGAAATAGGATTTTTCTTTTTCTAATCACTATTTTAAAAATGGCCATGGTTACCAGGGTCAGACTAAGACAAAATCTCAAAGCTATAGATATAGATACAGATATGTGTAGATATGTGTGTGTGTGTGTGTGTGTATACATGTAGTCTCCATTTCTTTTGGTCTCCAATTAAAATTATCAGACTATGCCATGATAGTGTTTTTCTTGGGAAATTAGATTTCAGGGCACGTGTAGGTGAGTGATAGAATTTTCCTGACTTTGGGAATTTGCATCTCTCCAGATTGCCTGTGAGGCGTCTGCCCTGGTGACTGGGAACAGCTGGCTGCAGGAGGAACGCAGCCTGCTTCCCTGCCTTTGCCTCCTTCGGGGAGTGTGGACAGGGCCTTGGTGTAGCCAGAGCAGGCAGGAATCCCTGCAGGGATCCTCCGCAAGTTCCTCACCCTCACAATGTCTTTTTTTTTTAAGAGAAAAAAAGAGGAAATAAAAAACAAAGCAGTAAAAGGGTACAAATAATACAAAATTTCAAGAAAAAATACAGTAAGATATCACTAGTTAATAGTTTACACATTTTCATCTTAGAAACAGTTGTCCAAATTATAAAATTAAAGCATACAAAGTGTACATTCATACAATGAGATTGCAGACAGTGCCGTTCAGTGATCCAACAAAAGCTCAGTAATATGGATTTCCATTCTACACACTCAAACATACATGCAGTTATATCCCTTAGACCACCTTCCTTTCCTCTCTTTTTAATAACAATTACAGTTTTTGGGTTTTTTTACTCCCACAGTTCTTATTACTTTTTTTTGAAAAGAATAAAACCTAACATGACTAAACAAAACAGAGTTGGTTAGAACAGAAGGATGGGCACAGTACATGATGCAAAAATAAATATCAGGTGATCAAAAGTGGTTACCATTATGCCTCTTGCTATCTTAAAAAGAGTTGCCTATATCATCAGGTATAATAGAATTGATCAAAACAGTATAGAACAAGACCAATAAAACCTACAGTGGAGACCTTACAGGATTTCAAAAGAAGATAATAATCAAACCATAATGGGCATCATAGTGAATCTTATTGCTGATGTCTTTTACACTCTATTTTTTTATATGCAGGCAGCATTTTGATCACATTCCCGTTACCTGCCAAGGTTTCACATTTTGGGGGGCAATGATATATTTTCCCAAACCCCTCTAATCCCCTTTCTCTTTTACCAGGGTTCAATTTCCACTTTTAGGAGCTGTAAGACTGTGATCCATTAATTTAGCCCGTTTAAGCCTCAACATTCGCACCTTTAAAATGGGGAAAATGACACTTTAAAGGTGGTTGTAGGGACTGAATTATGATGTAATGGAAATATGCAGTTCTTGAACCATAGTAGATACACAATAAATGGTTTCATCTTCCTGCCACAAGAACGAAACTGAATATGTTTTAGAAATCAGCTGTCAATACGAGCATGCTGAAAGAAAAGAGCAGGAGCGTTTTCCCTGTCTACCTAACAGAACACTCTGCGTGAGCGGAAGATGCAGCTTTGTTACTGGGAGAGCTAAGTGCCATGCGGCTGTTCTCCAGCTCCAGGGGAGCTTCTCTGTGGAATCACACTGCAGGTTAGAGAGGGCGTATGTAGTGCATCTTAGGTGGAAATGTACACAGCATCCTGGCTTTCAGAACATTCGAATGAACTTACTAAAGTACAAATTTTACTGTAGATATATACGTTTTCTTGTATACATGAGGTAATGGCTATGGTGATTGAATTATGCACACAGACTGTTTAGTACCTGGAATGTAAATCCAGCTTTATTTAAATTTGATGGTTGAAGCAATGTGGGATGAGGGTGAAGACAGAAAGCTGCAGACAGAGTGTGGAATTATAAAAGATGATAAGACTGTGTTCTCTGTCTTCCAGCCTGAAGAATAAGTAGTGAAGATATCAAGGAAGACTAAGCGAAGATGCCAGCACTGCTCTGCTGTGGAGACTGCTTGTCAGTTACCTGAGGAGGATCCTTTCTTGAACAATGAACATTTCTTATGCAGAGTCACAGATTAACCCATGGCAAATCTTGATTTTGGAAAATGAATTATATTTTCTTTTTTTTTAATTTTGTGGTAAGTTATGATATTTGGTTGGATTTTTTAAAATCTATCTTCCTGATAGAGTCTTTAACACATGTTCTAAGTTATAATCTTGCAACAAACCGTTGGAGCATTATTCAGACTTATGAAGAATGGAAATTTTTAATTTCCAGTTTATTCTAGATTTCTTCAGAGTGTGATTATTCTGTTAAATCCTTGATGATTGTGACATTTACCACCTCTATCCAGAAATAAGCATTTTTTTTTTTTTTTTGTCATCGTGACATGAACAGATCCAGAACAAATCACATTAGTGGAAGATATATCACAGACAAATACCAGTGCTTCACCTTCAGACACGGGGCCAGGCAAGAGCAAGGATGATAAATAAAGGAAGAATCTTCATGCTTTCCTTCTGATCACATAAAGGATGGCTTCTCAAGGTGAAACCAAGCCCTCTTTGCAAGCTGCCAAATACTAGCTTAAGAAGAGAATTAGTTTGCTTGCATGACGATCCTTTTAGGCAAAACGTCTTCACAGGGGTTGACTTTGGTAAAATCTTTCCCAAAGGCATCCAAAAGAATGATAAACCCCCAGAACAAGATAGAAATAGGTATTTCTTTTGAAGTTGGTCTGGACCGTAGGCTTTGATTCGGAGTACTGATGATTCAGAAAAAAGTGAGTAAAAATCCTGGAGAAATGGCCGCCTTGGGTAAGGTGAGACCCCTGATTCTTCTGTTTCTCATCTGAGTCTTGTTGCTGTGTCCATCCCTTCCCTTTGGGAAGAGGCCCATGGACAGTGGATTGGACAACTGTTCCTCTGCGGTAAGGAACATTTCTGAGTGCAAATCACAAAGCTTTTCCTGTAGGTTTAATCCTTCTCAGCAGTGACCGCAAGTGGGGTCTTGCAGGCTGATTAGAAGAAGTGACCTTGAGCTTCTGTTCAGTATGCTGCCTGCCCTCCAGCTGGAATCTGGCTGGGACAGCCCTTCACACCTTGTGACCCCAGGACTGGATCTGGTGACCAGGTTTTCTGGACATGCATTACTGTCCACAGAGAGTGGAAGTGGTCACATGTCAGTGAGCACTAAGTGCAATGAGAGGTGTACAGTGTGGCCTCTCGGATGCCTGTTCCCCGGGTCTGGAGTGTGGCACTGTCCCCTCGAGGACAGGCGTGGGTCTGCAGTGAGAAGTGGCACACAAGGTTACCCTGTGGGGAGAAAGGAGGGTTTGATGGGGAGAAATCTATTTTGCTGTTTTAGAAAGAAGCACACGCACAGCTGTAAACCTCTAGTTAGGCTCGTCTTCAAATGTGTAAAATAAAGCTTTATTTGTCAATTGTGCTGTAAAATAAGCATTGTCCAAGTTAAAGAAAAACATCTTTGTTTGTGTTTAGTGACTGAGCTCATACCCTGAAATATTGTGTGTTTATATTTTTTAACAACCTGATGCAGAAAAGCTTATGAACTTGGATTTCTTTTGCTTTACAAAGAAGCTGTGCCAGCCCCTTTATGGATGAGCTTCAGCTATAACAATCAGATTATTTCAGAATTTCTCATCTAAATACCCTTGTTCTTTGGTAACCTGCCAAGGGAAAGTGAATACCTTGCCAGAGGTTTTGTTTATTTGATTGTTTTTCAGTTTCCTTGTTTATTTTTGCTCATGCAGATAAGGAATTTATCATGCTAGTGAGCCATGGGAATGACATATCCAGTTCTATGCAGGAAGGGTTTATAGATGGTCTTTATATCTTGCAAAATCTTGAACAGCAGCATCTCTGCTTGGGAGCCTAGCTGTTTGTTTTTCTCGTGTTGTTCACTTTGGTTGTGTGTTTAATTCAGTTATACCCCACTTTCTACTTTCATTATGACTGGATTGGAGTGGGATGTAAAGTAGAAGTTTGCAAAGACAAATAAACCCTGATAAAGAAGGAGGTCAGTGTAGACCTCACTCTGTCCCTGTGCTGTGGTCCAGTCAGGCCTCAAGCTTCCCTAGTAGAGAGCCACCTGGTTAGAGCAGAGGTAAATTCAAGTCAAGGGGTCTTCTCTGAAACTCTAAATTCAGGCGAACTTAGGGATAATCTTATTCCCTTAGCAGACAGACACCATTCTGATGATGAATATTTAAAGGGTTTTTACTATTGGAGAGTGCTTGGAGTCATGTTAACTAAGCGAATCATGTACTCCATTTGAAGTTTTGTTGCAATGAAGGAAATAATGATTTAAAATTAGCACCCAAGCCTAGTAGATTTCTTATATAGGAGTGAAATTTTTTTATCTTTAAAGGAAAACTTTTAAGTGGCTGAAATAGTCTGTCTTCTGGTTTTGTTCTTGTTTTGCTTGTCTTCAGGATTGGACCCAGGGCTTCATACATGCTGTACAAGCTTTCTGCTAGTGACCTATACACCCAGCCGCAGTCTGTCTTCTTAAACAGATGGATCACTCCTACAGTCCTGGTCATGCGATTCAGATTTACTGTACAAACAATTCCTTCTCTTCAGTGCAGAGATAAGCTTCAGGCTAGTCCTGGTGGTCACAAATGCTATGATGGTAGAACTCAAATTAATGAGTTTTCCTTATGTACAGACTCTGCAGCCCAGAGAACTAATAAATGTGGCCATAAAGCAATCTGCTAAGGAACAAGGACTACAGTGATTCCTGCTGCTGATAAAAATAGTCATAAAATTCATCTGCTGTGGCTGGACTGCAGAGACCAACAGGATTTGTTTATCCTTTGCCTCTTAGATAACATAGAAACATAAATTAGGTCTGTAAGAATTTTCACATCTCCCTACTCAAGTGGGTACATTAGGCCAACCTGCTCAAAAGCAGAAACAAACAAACAAACCCGGAAGATCTACAGCGATCCTGTGGAACCCTGAGCTGGTGTGGTGACGAGAGGCTGCCACATGTTTTCCAAAGCAGACCTTTTGAGGGAAGCATTTAGATACATTAGTGTGAACACAGAATATTAGAACCCCAATAAGACCATGACCTTTCCAAACTGCCAGGTAATGAAACATACTGTCTACATGGCATCCAAGCTAAATATCCATTGTTCATTTGATCAACTTGTCCAAGAAATTGATTGCTTTTCTTTTGTGACCAGAATAAGAAGGGTCTAATCAGCAGTTTACTGTGGGGACAGATTTTTTTTCTTTTTCTGGTTCTTAAAACTTTTGTTCATACTAAAGGCATGCTGAACTACCTCATAGGTGTGTTGTGTGATAGCTAATTAATAAACAACAAGTGCTTCAAAGCCTAACTTCTATGTAAATGCTGCCTTGTTTTCTAGCTGAAGATACGCACGTCATGCCATGCGATGTCATGCCACGTCTGGGTATTTCGTGTTTATACATTTCTTTTTAAATTTGATACATAAAAATGAAATGCAATTCTGAGATTCTCAATACATACTGGGTGCACCAAACTCAATACTGGTAAAATAGCACGTGGTGAAACAAAAGCACCCAGAAGCAAACCAAAATGCTTTTAAATTCTTAAAAGAGGGAGCCAGCATTGATTGAAAAGAGTATTGTGCTGATTTTATATTACAGTAGTTAAGAGGCCCAAGTTTGTCAGTGATACATACAAAAAGATAGGGTGGGCGTAGGGCTCTGCGTTTACCGTATTTCCTTTGTACTTTGGATGAAAGATAAAAGGCGGCGGGTGGCCACAGCAAACCAGAGCTGCCGGAGGGGCTGTGTCACCTGACCTCATCAAGTCTTCCTAGAAAACCACTAAGCACTACTTTGTGGGTTTCTATTGTCTATAAAGGATGTGGCCTAAAGAGGAAGAGATGGAATTAATATCTAAGGGTTAGTGAGGTAATGTGAAGGCTCTATGGTAAAATCAAAAATAATTTCAATGCTGGTTCAACTTTGATGCCATTTTCCCTGTAGGACTAACTATTTGCTAATTTCAAATACCTCAAGTGAATTAGTAATTCATTTTGACCTTTAAAAACCACATTCTATAATTTTCAAATTACAGGAGTGAAGAAAAATCAGCCTTCCAGCTGCTGTTAGCGCATTACACTGTTTCTGAAGAGGGCTTCGGAGGCTGTCTGGTAACAGACTTTTAGCTCAGCAGGGGTCGCTTGGTCACCAGGGTCAGCCAGACCAAGGATGACTCAACTGCAGAGAGATGAGATCATGGACAATGTGGCACAGCTGGCTGGTCAGTTTTGTTTTTTGCTTAGGAAAAGAAGGGAAATCATTGTACAGATTAACGGATTCTATTGTAGGTCTGCTTCCAACTCTCTTGAGAATGCTCCACAGGTTTGCCATGTGAATTTTTGTTCTTTATGGACATCAATGTCTGATGACTATAAGCCAACCCTGTATGAGCAGTTTCGGGTTTCCTTGTAGTCACTGCATCAGTGGCCATAGGTTCTGTTTTGGGGTAAATTTTTAATGCATATTCTCATACATTGTGAAGGTGTCTTTGTTTTTGGGTGGGCTGTTAATCAGCCTCCTGTGCTGATGATTTTACTGCTGACTGTACAAAGAGTTACCACACTGCCAGCTCCATTTCCGATCAGTCCACAGGTCTGGCTGCCCTGGGTGCAGGGGAAAGGGAGTTTATAGGCAGAAAAAAATATAAAGCCAGTTTTTAATTGTACCTTCTGGATAATCCTGACTAGAAGGGGTTAAAACCTTACTAGAAACAAAGGAGGACTAATAAACAGAGCAGGGAGCACACGTTATTGGTCCCTCATCACCATCAATAAAATGCAAGAGAGATGGGAGGATGTCACTTAAACTTCTCTCTCTCTCTGTTTCTGTCTCTCTCTCCATATATATATATGTATATATGTGTGTGTGTGTGTCAAATGCACTTATAAAAACAGATGCCTATACATCTATATATGTATATACATGTACATACACACACACACACACACACACACACGCATTGTATATGTATTCCCATGCTAGAGTCAGTATAGTACTGTGTGGATCCCCCTTGACCTTGTATATGAGGCCTCTACTAACCAACTCATAAATGCCCAACATGAAGCCATGACAAAGACACTTGGGCCCACTTGGGAATATGCACATAGATAGAGGCACAGGCATTACGGTGTTGGGGCCTGGGATCCTCTATAAAGGTCCAGAGAACCAATCAAGGTGTGACAAGTTCCAGACAGCGCTCTGGGAGGGGACATCCCCAAAACATGCTAAGAGAAAGCCTAGCACAAAGACCCATGGGTATCTGAGTTTGGGCCTCGAACCTTCTCATAGTTTAGCTGTCTAGCTCCTGCTTCTTTTCATTCTTATGAATAAAGCATTTTTGTTTTCCCTTTTAAACTTGGCTGCTTTAATTCTTCACTGATGCTGAGTCTATGTCCCCAGTGAGCTGCTCAGATAGATAGCAGAGCAGCCGGGCTGCAGCACACATCCCTCAATCCACAAGAATCTCCCAGATGCTGATGATGGGAGGGTAGGATAACCTCCCCTAACGTTAGCTGCAGGGAAATTGTCCATGTCACACATGCTTACGCCTGGAAGTACAGACACTTCCCTATTATCAGAAAGATGATCTCCTTGGCTGCGCTTGAGAATGAAGGAATAAAGGAGGGCAGGACACAGGGAGGGCATCTGTGGGTGCTCGTCATGGACATAGCTGTCAGTGCTTCAAGCCAGTGCATGCTGCAGAGAAGACGATCCTTGTCTCTAGGCACCCACCACTGGGGTTAGAGGTATCGTAAGGGGCTTGTGTTTCCTCATCTTCTTGTGAGTTCATTCTTCTCATTACTTGTCAGCTCTTCTTTATGGCTTTCATGTTGGTTGGCCTCAAGGGCCACATGTTTAGAAATTGGGGATCTTGTCTTTGTGACCTTTTTTTCCCCACTCTTGCTTAACTAAAACATACTGCTATAAAAAGTCATTGTTAAATAAAATTGTTAAGAGCTACACTGATTTTGGAAACTATATTGTAGAGACTTTTTTTTAAAGCCAAGAAGTTTCCACTGTTGACAAGATATATTTCTTAAAGACATATTCTGCCTTATCCCCTTCTATACCACTTAATTTAAGGGCAATTACACACCCACAGCCTGTGTCTTTACACATGCCTCATCTCTCAGTGCCCTTGAGGTACAGAGACCATAATGTAATGAAAGTAGATTGAAGGTGCTTTCCAAACAATCTATGAGCCTCTGTAATAAATGATGTTCCTCTGGGGTTACTTCACACACTTGAACCTTCTGGAGTGTAGAGACCTCAATGAGCTAAGTACTCAATTCTCTCAAGCCACTGGTTCAAAGCCTGTCCATCTTCTTATATGCATGCGAACTTTCCTTGCTGTGAACTTGGTCTCGGTCTGTACCGGTTTCCACCTGGTAATCAAGGTCATAGTTTCCACAGAGATTTCTTCTCTGCAGATACAGTGCAAGAAAGAACACAGTTCTTGCTATTAAGAAATGTCTGACTCATTTCTGGGATTTAAAGAAAATAAATCATTTTCCCTTTGAAATTATGTTCTTTAACCAAAGTTCTTCTGAGAATAGAGATCAGAATCCCTGAAGAAAAAACCCACAAAATTAAAATTTCTTTCTCTTTTTTTGCAAGTTCTTGTAATGCAAAGTGTGACAACTAATAAAGGAATTGTATATTTTATGGTTGTTGTTCATGCATATATTAATTTAGTAATTATTTATTGGATAAAAACAGACAAAAGATTTGCTTTAGAGAAAATGACGTGGAATCAGAAAAGCCTGGATTTAGAAAATGTTTCTGTGATTTATTTGCTTTTTAATCTTGGGCAAGTGGAATAATTTTTCTGAGATCTATTTACTTTGGTTAAAGTGGGGCTCATAGAGTTTTCTTCTTAACCAGGTGTCAAGATTTGATGAACTATGTAAGTACAAACATTCAAGTTACAAAAGTTCACATACATGAGTGGACCTCATGCCCTGCTTTTTCATGTTTTGCACTGTGTATTTGTGTTAAAGGTGTGTAAGACTCACTTCATCCAACTTAATGAATGAATCCGACCTAGCAGCGTGCTCAGGTACAGACATTCTCCAGGATGGAACTGGTTCATAAGTCGAGGATCTGCTATATTTCTTCCTCTTCCCTCTTCTGGACCATCTAACTAAAATTGTTTGGCGTACACAGAAGCATTCAGTGGAGAGCTTAAAGACACCTTTGAAGTCTTCTTATGCATTTCCCTCATTTTACTCTCTTATTTTAAAAAACATGGGATGAACTAGACCTAACGTGGGAGAGAGTCACCGCAGTAACTCCTGTTGGAAACTTCCCAGAAAACCTGAAAGCAGAGTTCCAGAAGCTGTAACTGAGTTCCCTGAGCACTTTCTTCTGTCTCATCTCCCTTACCCTGCACCTGTCCCTGTCCCTTGCATTCCCAACCTGTGCTGCTCCCTCTCTAGGGCCTCATGCATCTCTGCCCACCAGTCTGCCTTTCAGTTGGTGCAAGAACTCCATGCCTGCAGGTGGCGGAAGGACAGCTGCTCTGATACTGGGTCAGGAAAACTCACAACCTGTCCTGCTGTAGGACAGAAGGCTCGAACAGTTGACTCCTCGGCATATTTCCACAGATACAGCAGAGTTCAGCTTGTGTTTTCATATATTTGTGGAGAGTATACATGCATATATGTATATGAATAGGAATCTATTTCCAACATAACCTTTTTCTTTTTACACTTTTTTGTTCTTTGATAAGATGCAGGACGCATAGCACAGCTGTGAATTTTTCCCCTTTGTTCCTTTGTCTCATGATAGGAGCCATTTAACTGTAAAAATGAGGCTGGATTTATGGCTGCCAGTCCATTCAAGTGGTAATAAATGTCAGACAGACATTGCTGAGTCATAAACTTCAAGAGTTTGAACCTAACCTGCTACATAAATCAGCTTACTGCCTATGAGCCCCCAGTTTCAGAAAGTTGCTTGACTACAAACTGACTTGACGCTCTAAGACTCCAGCTCTCTAAGTTTGCCCCTTGGCATCCTAATTTTTCTTCATTGTTCTGCACTAGAATTCTCTGTTTTTCGGTCAGAAATCTGCCTGTAATTCAAGTGTTTCTCAACATGGATGCTAGAGAAGCAGGCATGGGATGAGGCAGTGTGAGAGAATCCTGTGGGGTTGGTACCTGTGGACCTCCGCGTAGTCACCATGGGGATATAACGAGTCGTATGGTCCTGAGCCAGTGAGAGCCTGGCCTGGCATGAGTGAAGTGTGGAATGCACTGTGCCCTTCCACCCAAAGCCTGGTGGACCTAAGTTCAGACTGATCTCCATG